GTAGGCGCACCTCTCTGTAGGCGCCTCTCTGTAGGCGCCTCTCTGTGGGCGCCTCTCTGTAGGCGCCTCTCTGTAGGCGCCTCTCTGTAGGCGCCTCTCTGTAGGCGCCTCTCTGGCGCATCTCTGTAGGCGCCTCTCTGTAGGCGCCTCTCTGTAGGCGCCTCTCTGTAGGCGCCTCTCTGTAGGCACCTCTCTGTAGGGGCGCCTCTCTGTAGGCGCCTCTCTGTAGGGGCGCCTCTCTTTAGGGGCGCCTCTCTGTAGGGGCGCCTCTCTGTAGGCGCCTCTCTGTAAGAGCGCCTCTCTGTAGGCGCCCCAAAGCAGCGGCGCCTCCTCCTCACAGCCCCCCAGAGCAGCGGCGTCTCTTCCTCATCTCCATGCCAAGTGCCCAAGATGAGTGTGACTGAGCTGCACCAGCAGCTAAAACTACCCTCTCACTTGTTCCCCTGCACCACTCATTCCCCCCTGTTCTCCCCATCCCCATCCCCATTCCTCCCTCCGCCAGGTGTTTGAGTTTGACGTGAATCAGCTGCACCAGCTGCTGCTGTCTGAGAAGGTAGGGGGTGAGGCAGAGGGATTGGGGACGATTAGGGAGGCGGGTGGGACGGAAGTGGCAGAGGGGGCGTGAGTGGGGGGAGGGGGCGTGAGTGGAGAGGGAGGAGGAGGGGAATTAGGGAGAGGAGGATGGAGTTGGAAGGCGGCGGGCGGCGGGTGGTGGTGGTGGATACGCGCACAGAGGAAGAGACATCATGCCAATGATTTCAGAGTCGACTCAACAGTCAAGGCGTGTGGTGGTGGTGGGTACTCGCACAGAGGACAATGCAGCACTATCAATGATTCCAGGCGGCACACTGAAGCAGAGCGACTTTGAGCGGCACATGGGACGATTCGGCGATCATCCAGTATGAGCTGCACGCACATGGGTACCAACCGGTGGGTGTTGTCGCTCGTGAGATGCTTTGTGTGAGTTGAAATTGAAACGGGAGGGAAGGGAGCAACAGGCTCTGGTGTTGCCATGGATCTGCCAGTGTGTTTTTTGGAGCAACCATGCGGGTTCATGTGTTCTAAACCCAAGTCATGGGCCATGTGGTGTGCCAATGCCATGGTTGTCTGCCGGTTGGAGTGACATTAGTATAAGACCGCCCAAGTGGGTTCGTTCCATTACCAATCCTACTGATACACCTACAAATGAATAAGTATGGCAGTATGGCAGTACGGTCATTCATGGCTAGAGCTGGTCTGCATGGCAATCGAGGAGATGTCGCCACCACACGCAACACCACCAGCAGCAGTAGTTGCGGTACATCTCCTGCTGCTGCTGTTGCTTCTGCGATGGTGGTTTAGGTTTGCTTTTGAGGCCACAAGTTGCAGTGTGTCCCGTATCTTAACAAGCTTGCCTACCGGTAATTCATCTCAACTGCAACATTTCAGGAGTGACTGAGCAACTCTATGGAAAAAATGTTTATCCAAATGACTACAAACACAGCACTACAAATCGTCCCGTACATATGGTAATCTCATTGCCATTTGGTTAGACAAAGAGACGTCTCCAACATCTTGATGTGGTAGTTGAGTTGCTATCACTGACAAATTGATACGGTAATACCGTATGCTTATTCTCAACTTGAAGCTGTATAATATCAAAACTTGAGATAATAATGTTGCAAGAACTTTGTGAGGACAACCAAGTGATACAAAAATCATTCACTAAATTGATGTAACAGAAAATACAGTAGTTACCTCAACAAAATACATCATTTCCCTGTGACAACCTTCTTGTATTGCTGTGTTACCCACACCCACCTCCGTTCTGCATTAGCCCTCACAACACGTGACACAAAGCCACTGAATCTGCTGAGGATTGAGGAATAAGGCATCGTGGTGTTGCCGCAGAGCCCTTGTATGGGCTCGGATAAAAACCATGGGAGCAGCTTGCAAAAGATGGCGCGGAGAATGAGATCCATCATGTATAAGAACTGCACAAACATAGAAGTTGCACGTATTACGACATGAACGAACCAGAAGCTATAACATAAATGAAATAGAACCAGGTATTGACGGAACAGAAAATGTAAACGTACAGTGTAGAAGGTACTGACAGGCGCCGCAGCATCTGATAGCTCCACCAATGCGTGTCCTTCTACAACCTATAACACCCACAACGTGACATATAGACGTTGGTATCGCCTCATTTCAGGCTCCTGACTCGAATCCATGTTGATTGAAAACAATGACCAGCAGGGAGGGGAGTGCATAGAGTGAATGAAAACCCATGTGACAACTGAGGGCACGGACCTAGAGAGCGGAATAGCGGGAGAGAGTGGCTGCAAGGCCTGCCCTCAACTCCTCAACCTCTGGTACATCTATGCTTTGTCAGAATCCCAACCACTAGACCATTGGGATAAAAGGGATTGTTTCAGAAGCGGGTTAGTGCGCCCATAACCCCCCAGGCGAACGCGCCTGTAACCCTCTCCAGGATCAATCGGGCATCCACAGTGCAGATCTACTGACACCCCCCCACACTGGGAGGCCCAGGACTAAGCACAGCGGCACCGGCCTACATGTGCATACACCGGGAATCGAACTCGAGACCGCTCTGATACCATGTCAGAATCCCAACCACTAGACCATTGGGATAAAAGGGCTTGTTTCAGTAGCGAGTCAGTGCGCCCATAACCCCCTAGGCGAACGCGCCTGTAACCCTCTCCAGGATCAATCGGGCATCCACAGTGGACCTCTGACACCCCCCACGCACTGGGATGCCCGAAGTGCATACACCGGGATTCGAACCCGAGACCTTCGCTCTGATACCATGTCAAAATCCCAACCACTAGACCATTGGGATAAAAGGGATTGTTTCAGTAGCGGGTCAGTGCGCCCATAACCCCCCAGGCGAACGCGTCTGTAACCCTCTCCAGGATCAATCGGGCATTCACAGTGGACCTCTGACATGCTTGCCCCTCCATCCCCACCAACAGCAGCAGCAGCAGCGCCATCCTTGCCCAAGGGGCGGGGGACCCTGTCGTTCTCAGATACCGCCTCCCCCAGCAGCAACCTGCCCAGCACGAGCGCGTCCGTGATGGAGGCGTTGCAGCCCTGGCCCAGAGTGGGCAGCGTGGAGTGCATGGCATCGCCTATCAGGGCCACCTGGGCATCACTGTCATGGTAGCGCCAGCACTTCACCTGGTGGTGGGGAAGTGGCGTGTAGAGGGGGAGGTCACGCAGGAAGAGAGTGTGTGATGAAGTGCGCTGCATCGCCTAACCAGGCCACTTAGGTGCCTGCGTCGTGGTACCGCCACCACTACCACGGGGAACAAGAAAAACGGGCAGGGGGCGAGAAAGAAAGAATAACCCACCTGCATGCTCGTCCTTGGCTTCTGCTTCAGCAGCTTCCAGGCAGCTTCCTTAGGGACATCCAGGCAGGGCAATCTCTCAAGGAGGTATTGTTTGGCAGCAGCCGGGGAGGCGAGGGAGAGCCAGTCTAGAGGCGGGTCGGTGGACTTCCACCCCCACACCAGACACATCTCGCCGCCCACTTGCGGCATTGCCACCGCCCCGATGTTTTTTGTGTTGGTGACCTGTTGAAGAGGGGCGGTGGGGAGGGGAGTGAGAGGGATAGTGGAATAACGAGCGAGGGATACTCAGAGTGAGGACGGAGTAGAAAATAGGCCAAGAAGTATAGTTGCAAAGAGAGCATAAACAAACCTTCGCAGTGAAGAAGAGAGAGGTGGGTGTGAGGGTGGGCGCCACGGGTATGCTGACAACAGTCAAGTCGTGATACACACGGTCCGTGTGTACGGGGAAATCCCACGTGCGTGCAGCCAACATGTTGCGCACATATGATCGCACCCCGTCCGCCCCCACCTGATGGGGAGGAAGGAGAAAACAGGAGAGGCGGGGAGAGGCACACGGGCACGTCAAGAAATCACCTTTTATTCGCTCCACTATCCTCTCATTCCCTCTCCCACTCTCTCCATCATCCCAACTCCCAGAATTTTCTTCACTCCTTCACTCCATGCATCCCTGACACACTCACTCACTCACCAAAAGGTCAAATTTGATCTCAACGTTCTCCAAGCCACTGCCACCACCCCCATTGCTGCTGTCACCACTGTTGCTGCTCTCACCACTGCTGCAACCTGCGCTGCTGCTGCTGGTGCTGCTGCCGCTGCTGTTACTGCTGCCACTGTTGCTGCTGTCTCCACTGCCACTGCCACTGCTGCGAGGCACAGAAGCAGTGACCACGTGGCCCTTCATATCCACATCCACAATCCTTGACTCAAAATACACTGCCAGGTGCTTGCTCAGGTGTTTCTTCAGGTGCATCTGTTCCTCAGCACTAGTCTTCCCCCTATCCTCATCAGAAATTTCTTCACTTGCGGTCGCAGGTTTGTACCCCTTAGTAGCTCTCTCGATAAGCGCGTCAAGCAGAGTGGCACAAAGGTCCGTGCGAGAGACGAGGCCTTGAGGGGGGTCCTGAAAACAAGGAGTGACCATTCGTTGTGTGGGAATGGGGGAGGAGGGAAAGGGATCGCGGAACTCTAGCCAGAGGCGGACAATGAACTGACTGAAAGGGAGGGAAAGATTGAAACAATGGTTAATACATAAGAGTTTTGAGAAGCCTAAGAAAAATACTGACCTTTAGCAGCGTAATAAACCCACCTTGGGCATTAAAGCCTACCTTGGGCACTGAGAACCTGATGAGGCGGCCGAAGGTAGGCATGACCATCTCGTGTGGGTTCACCAGCACTGGCTGCACCTGCACACGTGGCAGGAGGCAATTGGATGAGAGAGTAGGTTGGGAGGGGTCTCATAGCTTGCTGTGCCTGCTGGCGTGCGGGTGGGATATGCCATGGAAGGAGGAATAGGGAGGACAATGAAGAGATTAGGAGGGAGAGGGGATTGTGAAGCATGTGTGCGCAAACACACACCCCACCTACCACACACCCCACCCACCACACACCCCACCCGGCACAAACCAGACTCTGCAACCCACCTTGTGCATGACTCCCGGAATAGCTATCAGGCAGTGCATCGCGCGAATGCTCAGCCCCATGGCGTACCTGCCGCCATTCACAGCGGATTCGAGGGAAAACGGGGGAGAGGGGGAAAAGCGGGGGGAGATGGAGAAGGTAAGGGAGAAGTTTTGAGAAGGCTCAGAAGAACTTGACCCCTGAGCCGCATCCGCTTTGACTTCCCGACTGCAACTCATCCAGTCCACATGGCTGACGGCACCTACCAGACCAGAGTGAACTACAAGCCGACTCAGAAGCTGCATCTTACTGTGTGCTCCCCGTTCTTTGCGTCTCTCTCTCTGCGTCCTTCCATGCTCGACACACCACACACGCTCTTACCACGCGTGCTGCCACCAGGATTGGAAGACGGACAAGTATCAGCAGATGATTGGCTCGGGGCAGGTGAGCAAATGATTGGGTGGGGGCTGGTGTGTGCATGATGGCGACCGTCTATTACACCAATTTACGGGTCCTTCAGTTAGTTTCAACAGATGTTGTCGTTACTGTATATGGCTCTAAACACGGCTGCACCCTTCACCAGCTCCTGATAGTCTCGCTCTTGCCTCCTCCCCCCTATCCTCCCTTTTTCCCTCCCGTTCCTCCTCCCTTCTCCCCGTACTCTCCCCTCCTGCAGGTGCTAGTGCGGCCAGGCGTGTTAGAGCTGATGGATGAAGTGAGACAGAGAGTACGTGGAGGGATGTGGGTGGAAGAAGAGGAGGGAGAGCGGGGGGGTGGAAAGAGCAAGGGAGCTGTGGTGACTTTTGAGTCGACTCAAAAGTCACCTGGGTGGAAGAAGAGGGAGAGCGGGGGATTGAAAAGAGGAAGGGAGCCCGCATGCCGGATAGGAGGGGATGTGTTTTTTGAGACGGGATTTAACGTTTTTAAAATGTTGTCTCTTGACTGGAGGTATGGGGGAAAGGTGGTATAAAGAGGACAAGAGGCTCACTGCCCTTCCCTGTCTCTTCCCCTTCTCCCCATCCTTCCCCCTCCCCCCGGCACTCTCAGGGTCTGCTGGTGGCGGTGTGTTCTGCAGCCACTAAGAGCTCAGTTGTCTTTCAAGTCGACTCAATATTCTCTCCCCATTCCCCCACTTCCCCACCTGTCCCCCGCCTTTCTTCCCCCCTTCTCCCCCCCGTCCTCCCCCCTCTCTCCTTCGTCTCAGGTTCTGCTGGTGGCGGTGTGTTTTGCAGCCACCAAGAGCTCAGTCGACGTTTTAGTTGATTCAATAATCTCTCCCCCCTGCTTACCCCCTCAAACCCCACTTCCCCCCCCCTCGCCCCCTCTCCCCCCTCGTCTCAGGGTCTGCTGGTGGCGGTGTGTTCTGCGGCCACCAAGAGCTCAGTCGTCTTCACTCTCACCAGCCTGCTTGGGAAGGTACTGTTCATTCCCCCTCGCTCTATTTGTATGGTGGTGCCTCAGAAATAGATCTTACCCTCAATAAGCTTCTGGGTAAGGTGCTCTTTACACCCCTTCGCCCTTGGCCCATCCCATCCCCATTTAAACTCTCACATCCAGCTCAGTTTGTTATGTGCCTGAGAAATCTGTCAGAATGAGGAATGGATGTTGCATTGATGTTGGTTGGGGTACATATGACAAACCCTAACTTCTGTACCCCCTAAGACAAACCTCACTACAGGCTACAACATTTGACACACCCCCATAGCCTAAGTGAGGGGTGTCTAGCAAAAACAAAAAAAAAGAGTACGGTCACAAGACCAGTCCAAAAGAAAACAAAGCTCAGGGTGGATCACAACGTCACCACACACTCTGAGCACAAGCAACAGTGGCCACAAGGCCAGTCCAAGAGATCACAAGTATATATAGTAAGTGTACAGACGAAGCAGGCAATAAACTCAAGTCTACGCATGACTAGAACCTGTGTCAACAAGGCCTAACTGCACACAACACCTCTGGTGGTCACAAGGCGGAAGCGCCTTGGTGAAGATGTCTGCAGTGTTGGCCTCGGACTCTACAAACTCGAAGCGAGCCTGTCCACGCCTCTGCAACTCTCGCAGAAGAAAGTACCTGACGTGAATGTGCTTCACTCTGCTCTCCAGTCGCGGCTCACGACAGAGGAGGATCGACGCCTTGTTGTCAGTAAACAAGGTCGGTGCAGAGCTCGGCCGCTCACCAAGGTCGGCGAGCAAGAAGGTCAACCACCGTAACTCCTGTGCCGCCATGGCACCAGCGTAAATCTCAGTCTCAGCTGTAGAGGTCGAGACAGAAGAGGAGCGCGTGGAACGCCAGGAAACAGCTCCAGAACCCAGACTGAAACAGTACCCCTGAGTAGACCTGTGAGTCTCAGCGTCGTCAGCGTAAGAGGAGTCACAGTGACCAGTGAGTACGACAGACTGCTGCCCTCCAAGAACTAGCCCCACGCCTGATGTAGTCGCTAGGTACTTCGCCACCCTCACAGCTGCCGTCCAGTGAACAGGACGGTGTCTCCCTGGCGCAACAAAGCGCGCAAGGATGCTGAGAGGGAAGGCGAGGTCCGGGCGAGTACAAGTCATCAGGTACATGAGGCAACCCACAAGCTCTGCGTAGGGACCACTAGGCTCAAACGGCTCGTCAGGAAAGGGACCAGTGAGTCTGTGGTCAACAGCTAGAGGTGTGCGCTGTACGGTGGAGTGCTGAAGCCCGAACCGCTGAAGGACCTGCTGCACCATGTGTGACTGTGAGAGTGTAATGGTGCGAGCGGCTCTGTCCCTGGTGATCTGCAGGCCAAGGTAGTGGCGCAGCTCACCAAGATCAGTGCACGTGTGTCTCTTCTGCGGTTCGGACTTCACGTCTGCCAAAGCAACCCTGTCCGAAGTGGCGAAAACGAGGTCGTCGACGTAGACCAGAACAAAGAACGGTGTGGAGCCACGACGAACGAACAGCGACGGGTCGGCAGAAGACGGCTGGAACCCAAGGTCAGAGAGGGTAGAACGCAGAGTGTCGTGCCACTCACGAGGGGCCTGGTGAAGACCGTAAACAGGTCGCCTCAGCCTCCACTGGGTCCCAGGAGGGAAAGTGCCAGTGAAGGCCGAGGGACGACGCAACCAGACCTCCTCGTGTAGACTGCCCTGAAGGAAAGCAGTGGAGAAGTCAAGAGAGTGTAACTCGTAGTCTCTCTGTGCTGCTACGTGTAGTAACACCCGAAGAGTGGTCATCTTCGGGGTAGGTGCGAAGGTCTGAAAGAAGTCAACTCCCTCGCGCTGACTGAAACCTCTAGCCACGTAGCGCGCCTTGAAGACCGGGGGAGATCCCGGTGGCCGCTTCACCCTGTAGATCCACATGCCGTCGACTACGTTCGCCCCAGGGGGGGGAACCTCATCGACGTAGGTGCCTGTGGATCTGTAGGAGGCCATCTCTGCGTCCATGGCAGCTCTCCACTGAGAGGCCCAAGGCCCTGACACTGCCTCAGCGTAAGTGCGAGGAGTCGGAATGTCAAGGGCGTCGGGGTCACCCTCAGGGGCGAGGAGCATGGCACAGAGATGAGGGGAAGCGGCCGCCAGGAACTCTAGCTCAAACTGCCTGTCCTCTAGGGCGTCACAGCCAAGGGCAGACACACCCCCGACGGCCAGAGGAATGGTAGGAGGAGCAGCCACAAGCGTGGTGGCGTAGTCAAGGCGGCGGGTAGAGGCAAAGTCAGTAACTGCGGCAGTAAGAGCGGACACAGAGGACACAGAGGCACGAGGGTGAGTAACAAGAGAGGCGAGAACACGAGAGAGAACAGGACGGTACGTGCGGTAGTAGTCAGTGACAGGAGTAGGGAGCGACACAGTGAGGGCCGACTCAGGAGGAGACGGAAGCACAGACTGAGACGGACGAAGTGGACTAGAAAGAAGGAAGGCAGTACGAAGGTCAGTGAAGGGAACAGGAGACGAGGGACGAGCACGAGGGGAGCGACGAGTAGCCCAAGAACGAGACGGAGGAGGAGAGGACAAAGGCGGAGAACTGGGGAAAACAGCGGGGGAGGAGTCAGGAGGAGGAAACGTGGGACCGTAGACAGGAGGAGAGGCGGAGGAGGGAGGAGAAGGGGAGGGGAGACCAAGGATCCGAAGACCCGAGACAGGAGGAGGAAGTGGCTGCTGCTGCTGCGGCTGCGACTGCTGCTGCTGCGGACGCGGCTGCTGCTGGGACTGCTGCTCCTGCGGGTCCAGCTACTACTACTGCTGCTGCTGCTCCTGCGGCTCCAGCTGCTGCTGCTGCTCCTCCAGCCGCTGTAACTCCCTCTCCTCTCTCTCCAACGCCACCTGCTCGTCACGGGCACGGCGAACACGAGTCTGGTGCCTAGTCGGGTAGGGGTGGGGGGGTGGAGTAGTGTCCGAAGCAGCGGCAGCTCCAAAGTCCACCTCAGAAGAACTAGGCGCACCACCCCCAGAGGCAGCACTAACACCAGCTCCAGAACCCGGCTCACCTGAACCCGAAGGAGGCGCACCCTCACCCCCAGACGCAGCACCCCCAGTGTCCGCGCGGCCAGCACCAGCTCCCGGACGACAAGAGTCCTCTGCACCCACCGGGTCAGCTCCAACCCCAGAACCAGAAACTCCAGCTCCAACCCCAGCTCCAACTCCAGCACCCCCAGAACCAGAAACTGCAGTGCCAACTCCAGCTCCAACTCCAGCTCCAACTCCAGCACCCCCAGAACCAGAAACCGGTACAGGAACAGGCGCCGCACCAACCTCTCGAGAGCTAGCACCAGCGGCACGCTGCGAGGAGGACTGTGGGGAGGGAGGCTGTACCGGAGGGGCTACCGAAGGAGGAGGGGTAGCCTGGGACACACCTGACGGGGCTGGACCAGGGGGGGGAGGCTGTACCGGGGGAGCAGGAGGGGGAACGGCAGTCAGGAAGAGGGGGGGAGGAGGAACCGGGAGACCTCGACTGGGGTACCTGACGTAGTACGGAGTGGACTCCTCGAAACGGACGTCACGGGAGTCAAAGAACCGGTGAGAGGGAGGGTGGTAAAAGGTGAAGTCAGAGGAGTCCTCAGGGAAACCAAGGAAGACACAGGGGACGGCACGAGGCGAGAGCTTGTCCGCGGAGGTGTCGCGGACAAGAGCCAAGCACCCCCAGACACGAAACCGCGACGCAACACCAGGGGACCCTGTCCAAAGACTGGTCGGTGAAACCTCTGGTCGAGAGACACGTGGCCAGAGGTTCAGCTGGTGCGCGGCGTACCTGACCGCGTAGGGCCACAGAAAATGGGGGGCACAGGCGTGAGTCAGGGAGGTGCGGGCGATCTCCATGACCAGGCCTATGCGGCGCTCAGCAACCCCATTCTGCTGTGGGGACTCTGGAAGCGTCCAGGACTGACGAATGCCCTGCTCGCGACAGAATCCAGCGAGAATGCCGGAGCGAAACTCACCCCCACGGTCGGAGTGGAGACAGCTGACACGACGACCACGAGTGTCCTCAGTGGTGAGCAACCACCTGATCAGCGTAGAAGTCACCTCAGACTTCTTCGCCAGAGGGAACACTGTGGTGTAGCGGGAGAAGTCGTCAACTACCACCAGAAAGTAACGCTCACGCTCAGGGCCTAGACGAGGGGCTGGGCCCCAGACGTCCAAGTGAAGCGTCTCAAAAGGCTCGGTGGCCGGACGAAGGGAGGAGGAGTGAGGGGTGGCGCGCAGCCTACCCTCGACGCAGGGACGACACGGCGGCGCAGGCGAAGGCGGCAGCGACGGCAAGACACGTGGGAGGCCTAGGACAAGACGCTGACTAGACATAGCGCGCAGACGTGGAAGGGACGGGTGCCCCATCCGGTGGTGCCACAGAACGGTGGGGTGGGCAAGCGACCGGCAGGAGCACGACGCAGCGACTGGAACAGACGTAGGAACCTGACACGACACAGACACCTGGGGGGACGTAGCAACCTGGTGAGACGCGGGGACCCGAACGGGGGGGGGAACCGGGGGCAGTGGCAGTAGGGGGGGCTGCTGGTGCGGCCGCTGGTGCTGCTGCTGCTGCTGCTGCTGCTGCTGCTGCTGCTGCTGCTGCTGCTGCTGCAGCTGCTGCTGCTGCTGCGGCTGCTGCTGCGGCGCACGCGGGCCAGTGTGAAGAGTGTAGAGACCCGAGCCCGGCTCAGCAGTAAAGGTAGCAAGAGGCTGGTAAGAGTCTCCGTCAACACACACCGCAGTCTCTCCAGAAGGCTCAAACCACACACCCACGTGCTGACTCACGAGGGGTCGCACGCCCACCAAGTTCCGGGAGAACGAGGGGACGTGAAACCCAGTGAGAGACCCGGAAGGAGCAGCAGGACACGGTAAAGTGGTAGTGTGACGTGCAGTCACTGGTCCCGTAGTGGGATCAGCCAACGCTACAGAAACAGGCGCAGGAAGTGGTGTAAGTGTCGTGCTGTCCCGAAAGAAGCAGTGGGAGGCTCCAGAGTCCAGTGTGAACGACAGCGAAGCGTCCTCTGAGGTAGTCGCTGGTCTAGAGTC